TCCTGGGAAGTTGGAAAGGGACGTATATATATTAAAAATATTTATATCTATCGATCGATCGATCGATAGATAGAAGGAAAAGGGGAAATCGCTGGTTTAGTCAATGAAGCGAGCCATCTGTTGTCCACGATGGATGACTGGGGGGGGGGAAATGTCTTTCCCCCCCTCTTTTTATTGTTGGTTTTAGAGGACCCCATTTCTCCTCAATTATTTCAGACTTTTGACTCGTCCATGCCCTTCATCATTTGAGCAGCGTGCTCTAAGACTGCAGACTTGGAGTTGCGCATGAAAACGTAATGTCGGGAACGTCGGTACGGAAAGCAAGGATGATGGGCAAGTCTTTGGGTCGAAATCCCAAGTCCCGGGTTCAAGTCTTTGGGACCTGGGGGGGAAAACCCTTTCAGATGTATGTAGTCACTTTTGGTAGAGAAATAATAGCGTCTCTTGAACGTGATGAAGATGAAGGAAGTAGCTAGGCAGCGTGAAGCTCTTTGGGACCTCCAAGGCATTATGGGCCTGGTAGTTTCCTGAGAGGCGCGCTGTACGAAGAATAATAAGTAGGGAGACTACCAAGGCTATAATGCCATGCAGCTCCCATGGAATTTAGCCCTACCCGGCCACTTTCTCCCTCTTTAGCATGTCTAAGAGTAGCTGTTATTTTCCAACTGAAAGTGATTATAAACACCTGACTTTTTAAGATGTATTTGGCTAAAAAGTCCTCAGAATTCTGATTCGAGCTGCTCTCGAGAATATCGGCCATTATCTGTTCATAATAAACATTCCCCCCTCCCCCCAAAAAATCAGGTTGTTTGGAGATATGGTGGAAATGGCAAAAAGGAGAGGGTTGTTTGTTTTTACCTTATAAAAGAAATGAAAATATTTCATGAAAATATTTATAACAAAGGCAGCATACAAGGAGCCAAGCACCTCGATGCTAAGACAATTTTAACAAGCCTCTCCCAAAAGACAGCAAGAGAGTCGAGAATTTAGCAGGCGCACGGCGCTGCCCTGCCCAATAAGACATGCGGAGCATACACAGTTCTGTGGGTCGGTTTTATGTTTTTGCATATCTGTTAAAGAAATCTCAGGAGATGAACAGCTCTTTCTTAAAACCGGGGAAACGAATTTTGCACCGTGCTTTTTTGCTTTTAAAGCAATCTCCGAGCAGAAATTCGCTTGTCCTTCCAAATGTTTGTTCCTTCGAATTTTTGTGGGAGGCGGCCCTGTCATGTCTGTGGCAGGAAAAAAAAATAGACAGCACGCTTGTGGCACCTTGGACAAGAAACAGGATTTATTTGGTATCCCCGTTTCCTGGAATGCAGCCCAGTTACTCCGACGGATTTGACTGGCTGCAGTCCTAGAAAAGTTATGCCAATAAGACCTGTTAATCTGTGAGAGCCAGCGTACCGTAGTGGATGGAGGGCCAGAGACAGAACCCAAGAGACTTGAGTTCAAATTTCCCCGTGGAAACTCATGGGGGTGGAATAGTGATAATGAAGCCCTCCTTAAACATCTCACCCATCTCGAGAACCTTATTAGGTCACCCAACATCAGAAGTGATTTGATGGCATTAAACACAAACTCTTTCAAACAACACAAGACCCCCTTGATAGTTTTCCTTCTTTGCAGTGGGCTTCTCCCATCAAAAAATAGGTGTGGGAAATAGACAGTAAGACCCCTGTATCTGTGGGATCAATATCCACGGTTTCACTTATCCACGTGATCTGAGAATATTAAAAATATTTGAAACCACGCGTCATGGGGAAAAGCCACAGTTGACGTCACGTTTTGTTCCGCGTGTTCCTTCCTAAGGACAGCTAGAGAGGGATTCGATCGGAGCTGGAAAAGTGAAGGGAGATATTATGGTTTTTTTCCCCTGCAACCGTGGTCATACCCTCATCCCTCTCCCCTGCCCAGTCAGGGAGGGTCACCCCTGCCACAAATCCAGCCACGCGACAGTGGCGTGACTGTCTCCCTTTTTGTTGCCACCGCCACCGAGAAAGCTCCCGGCTAGCCGGCCTGGAAGGCCACTTCCTGTCTGCACAGGAAGCTAGGCCTAGGCTAGGCCACCATGTTTTCCCAGCTAGGCCTTTCCTCCAGGCGAGCCATAGTGAGGTGCCCGTCGGCATGGGCCTGCCAGAAGAAGCTCGCTGAATGGAGAAGGATGGGATGTGTGGCCCTCCAAAATATCTGGAAGCCCCACATCTAATGAGGACCGTGGGTGCAAGCCACGGCGGCTCCCTTGCCCTGTCCTTTTCCCTGGGAATGGAAGGAGCTCCCCATTGCTTTCTTCTTGGCGTCTCCCTCCTTTCCTGAGTGAACATCCCACCCACCTCCTATCTTTTAAAAGCCAACAGAAGTTATAAAGACGAGAGAGAGAGAGAGCACGCCTCCCTTGGCTTCCCTCTGAGTAAAAAACCATGGCCTTCCACGATACGCCATGTGGCGTAGAGAGAGAAAGACGGAGCACCGCTTCCCACGCAGAAGAAACTCTTCCGTACACATCTGCTGCCCATCCAGAGAGATTTCGCCAGTTTGGCTTCGTTCACAGACGAAGCTGTTTATTTATTTATTTATTTATTTATTTTGAGGGGGGTAAAAAATTCTTTTCTAATTTTAAATCTCTCTGAAACACGCAGAGCAGACGGCGCAAATGCTGCCAAATGAAGGCGGGTCGCAATTAAACCCAGGCGGCAGGGCGATTTGTCTTCCTTCTCCTCGCAGGAAGCTCGGGCGGGACGAGTTGCGAGCGGTTGAAACGGAGGGCAGAACAGATTAATAGCAAAAGAGAAGCATGAAAGCCATCGCCTCCCATGTAGACCACAAAAGGGATCATGTTTTTACTGACTTACTTATGTACTAAGGACCTAATCACATGGACTATCTGATTCATTTCTGTTTCCTCCTTTTTTATGTCGATATATTCGTACCTATAGTTATGTGGTAGATATACCGCTGGGCCTGTTCACATGGCTGTCAGTTCAATAGGTATAGTTTTTGGCTATTTGTACCATTTTTGTAGGCCAGAGGTCCCCAACCTCCGGTCCGTGGCCTGGTGCCGGACCACGCTGCGGAGACCTCTCCCCACACATGCACCCCTGCACAGCCCATTTGCGCCTATGCGCGAGCGTGCCCGCACGAGTGCTGCGCCACCCTTTACGCATGTGCACGAGTGCGGGGGGGTGCCCCGCCTTCCTCAGCCGGTCCGCGGGGCTAAAAAGGTTGGGGACTGCTGATATAGGCGTCACGAACTATCTCGTATAAATCAGTTCATTTTTCTGTCCTATTTCTGCGTCCTCACAGCCCTGAACGCTTCGTTTTTTAAAAAAAAAATTGCAAGCGATATATCGCTAAAGCGGCATATGCATGCCATTTTCCTGTCACTTCCAATGTCCTCACAGCCCTGAATGCTTCGTTGTTTTTTTTAAAAAAAAATTTTAAGCGATATATCGCTAAAGTGGCATATACATGCCATTTTCCTGTCACTTCCAATTGTTAGTCGACGTGCCACCCGGTGGGATATGCCACTAGACAAATTACAACGAAGAGTAACTTTCTCGGTAAAAACTGCCAAGAACTTTTGGGCTTTTAACTCCCTCCCACTGGTACCAACCTGATGATGTGGCGTTTTGATCCACGAAATCTCATCAATGGTTATGATGATTTTTTTTAGTGGTTTATTAAGGCACCACCTGTTGTTGTTTTTTTTGCATAGATAAATGTAGGGCAGCATTAAAAACAACTTGAACTGTGGTTGAAAAGATTTCTGGGGACCCAAAGTTGGGTTGGGAACCAGTAAAGAAAGTTATTGTTTCTGCGTCAGGAAACGGTCTCTGGAGCCTCCCGCTGGCTACGGCCGAGTGCGAATTTGTTAAATCCTCATCAAGATCCGTGAAGTGCGGTTTGATTTTTCTAATCCAGGCCGCCGAGATCAAATGGGGATTCCACGTGCTAAAGATGCACATTCATTAATAAAACCTGTTTATTTGCTTAGGGATGTCTGCTGCCCCGGGGTCACATTTACCTAATGGTTATTTGCAACCAAAACAGACCCGTGTCTTTAGATTCTTTGAGGGAGAACGTTCGAAGGGAGGGGCCTTTATTTTTCTTGGGAAGAATTTACAGCAAATGCCCTCCGGGCTATTCAGCCTCTTCCGTTATACGGGATAAGGTGAAACTTGGGAATTGACGAGGAGCAGGAAAAAGGTCCCCATAAGTAAGAACTGACTCAACAGCATGTTGTCAAGAGGTTTTAGAGAGGAGGAAATTTATCAGAGAGAGCAGGGGAATGGATCGCAAGAACCAGCTATACTGACAGAAGTCAAAATCATTGGCTTCCTCGTAGGGGATGATTGTAAACCTTGAGCTTGAGCGCCCTTGGCATATACTTGTGGTCTTCACACAAGCAACTGGCAGACCTCTGTGGGAAACAGGATGTTGCTTGTCTTGATTGAGCCTTGGAGGTCTTCCTGTGCTCGGTATTATGTGCTTCCAACGCGGAGCCCTTAATATTCGTTTGTTCGTTTATTCGTTCATTCGTTCATTCAATGTATAGACTGCCCCATTCGCGCAATAAGGTCCCTACACTCATGGACACAAGCACGCACTTTCCCACATACAACTTAATGCTAGTGGCTTGAGCGTCACCTCTGCGCGAAAGAATTCGTGAACAAAAAAAGGAGAGACGGTTCGTTTTTTGGCCGAACCGGTGTTTCGGCGCTTCCCAGCCCTGCCTCCTCTGGCAGGCGTCCCCTCACAGGCGGGGGCCTGCCTGTTCTGCCTCCTTCAGGCGCTGCCCCTGAGTGGGTGCCCACCCGAGGAGGCGGGGTTAGGAAGCGCCAGAAACCGATTCGGCCAGGAAGCGAATCAGCGCGAACCACCAAACCAGCCGTTCGCGCCCATCTCTATTTACATCTGTTTTGTGCAAAAAGGATGCTCAAAACTGCTAGCATGAGCCATGCACGGGGGAGGGTGCGCATGTGTCATGCGTGCGGGTGCGCATGCCTGTCTGTGCGAACGGCAGCCCCCGAATGGTCAGATTCAGGTGAAGCATTTGAACCCTCTCGCAAAGCACCCCAAGGTCCCGCCATAAGGCCGTTCTCCAGGGGGTCCCACCACATCAGAGGCCCTCCCGTTTAACACACAGCAGAAGAATCCAGGGCGATTCTGCTCCCAGTCAAAGACCTGTCATAAAAGTATTCCTCGTTTCAAAAAACCGTTCTAAAATAAAGATTTCTCCACCCCCCGCCATTAAGGAACAAATGGGAGCCAGATGGGTTGCATGGCAGAAAAGTCACTGTATAATATTTCAGCGGGGAATGTAAACGAACGAGAGTTTGCAGTTCTGCTCCGAGAGCATCGTGTCGGGCTCTCCGCGTGTGTCGGGCCACTGGCCAAAGTCTCCGGGCCTTGCTGCCATTTCTGAGGTCTCCAGGCGCAACCCCCATGTGCCAGGGTGTGCGGCGGTTTGAGAAAACGGCATTTTTTTTCAGCATGAGATAGCCAGGTGGTATCAGAGCTCATGGATTCAGTTGTGAGGATGTATCTGCAGGATCGCTCGGTGGTTTAGGTCTCCGGCTGCGGCGCCAGAAATCAGGAATCTGAACCCACCTTTTGGCCTCTGTGACAAGGGTCAGACTTGGTGATCTATAGGATCCCATCTAGCTCTGCTGTTCTAAGATTATGATGATGTGAAACATACAAATTCGTAATTTAGCTAGCTGGATAGCTCCGTCGTTTAGATCTCTGGCTGCGGAGCGAGAGGGTTGGGAGTTCGATTCCCCCACGGTGCTTCCTTGACGGGGCTGGACTGGATGATCTCATAGGGTCCCTTCCAGTTCTCTGCTGTTCGGAGGTTATTATTATTATTATATAGCTCGATTCTGTACATGGGCATGGAAAGCTGGGTGGAATCGCCTTCTCTTTGGCCTCCGGCCACGGAACGGGCGGGTGCTGGAGGCCGGTTTCTGACCGTTCTTCTTGGTTGTCTCTCTCTCTCCCGCGAACAGGCGAGAGTTCGAGTCCCGCCCGCAGCTCCGCCAAGAGGAAGAAGAAGCAACGGAGGAACCGCACCACCTTCAACAGCAGCCAGCTCCAGGCGCTGGAGAGGGTGTTCGAGAGGACGCACTACCCAGATGCCTTCGTCCGAGAGGAGCTGGCGCGGCGCGTGAGCCTGAGCGAGGCCAGAGTACAGGTGAGTGCCAGGGTCGCAACCGCCCCACGAGCTGCGAGTTCGAATCCCCCGCGGTGTGTGCCCCCTGGGAGAAGAGCCAGCCTGGGTGGCCCTGGTCCAGTGGCCCTGTCACAGGGATTCCTCCCTCCCAGGAGAAGGGAAGGGTCCACCACTTAAAAAAAAACCACACCCAAATTCTTACCTGCTTCCTCTCCGCCAGGTATGGTTTCAGAACCGGAGGGCCAAATTCCGCCGTAACGAAAGAGCCATGCTCGCCAACCGGTCGGCGTCCCTGCTCAAGTCCTACAGTCAGGATGCGGCCATTGAGCAACCCATGGCACCCCGGCCAACAACTCTGAGCCCAGACTACCTGTCTTGGTCAACCTCCTCCCCGTACAGGTGAGTATCTATCGACCCCTGTCGTTCTTTCGTAGCTCCTGTACGCTGGAGCGAGCAGATCGGCGGTTACGTTATGGTGCTGACTTTTTATTTCACCTATTTATTTTCCCACTGGAATCCCGAAGCTTTTTTTGCATCTATGATCTTGGGTCGGTAGGTGATGAAAACTGAGGGACAGTAAAAATGTTATGCGACTTTTCACTATCATTAGAAAGCTTATGCAAATGTGCACCGGAGGTGAGCGATACCATTCGGTGTTTAAACTGGATCGTCCTAAAAACATTTCAAGTATGGCTATTTCAATTACTTTCTTTAGTAATACTCTCCATTTCAAAGTATTGGTTTATCATCGATGTGTCCATAATTACTGATCATTGCAAATGGCCAGTTTTATAATTTGCCAGTCTAAACGGATTGACTGATTGACGTTAACGATGCTAGTTTCCATATGAAAGTCAAAATAAAATCAAAAGATGGGCAAGGTATTAGCCAAAGAATATATTTTTTCTAGGGAGCAAGGGAAGAGTTGACCCCCCCATAAAAGCAGAACGCTAGCTGGATAGCTCCGTCGTTTAGATCTCTGGCTGCGGAGCGAGAGGGTTGGGAGTTCGATTCCCCCACGGTGCTTCCTTGACGGGGCTGGACTGGATGATCTCATAGGGTCCCTTCCAGTTCTCTGCTGTTCGGCGGTTATTATTATTATTATATAGCTCGATTCTGTACATGGGCATGGACAGCTGGGTGTAATCGCCTTCTCTTTGGCCTCCGGCCACGGAACGGGCGGGTGCTGGAGGCCGGTTTCTGACCGTTCTTCTTGGTTGTCTCTCTCTCTCCCGCGAACAGGCGAGAGTTCGAGTCCCGCCCGCAGCTCCGCCAAGAGGAAGAAGAAGCAACGGAGGAACCGCACCACCTTCAACAGCAGCCAGCTCCAGGCGCTGGAGAGGGTGTTCGACATGGGCATGGAAAGCCGGGTGGAATCGCCTTCTCTTTGGCCTCCGGCCACGGAACGGGCGGGTGCTGGAGGCCGGTTTCTGACCGTTCTTCTTGGTTGTCTCTCTCTCTCCCGCGAACAGGCGAGAGTTCGAGTCCCGCCCGCAGCTCCGCCAAGCGGAAGAAGAAGCAACGTAGGAACCGCACCACCTTCAACAGCAGCCAGCTCCAGGCGCTGGAGAGGGTGTTCGAGAGGACGCACTACCCAGATGCCTTCGTCCGAGAGGAGCTGGCGCGGCGCGTGAGCCTGAGCGAGGCCAGAGTACAGGTGAGTGCCAGGGTCGCAACCGCCCCACGAGCTGCGAGTTCGAATCCCCCGCGGTGTGTGCCCCCTGGGAGAAGAGCCAGCCTGGGTGGCCTTGGGCCAGTGGCCCCGTCACAGGGATTTCTCCCTCCCAGGAGAAGGGAAGGGTCCACCACTTAAAAAAAAACCACACCCAAATTCTTACCTGCTTCCTCTCCGCCAGGTATGGTTTCAGAACCGGAGGGCCAAATTCCGCCGTAACGAAAGAGCCATGCTCGCCAACCGGTCGGCGTCCCTGCTCAAGTCCTACAGTCAGGATGCGGCCATTGAGCAACCCATGGCACCCCGGCCAACAACTCTGAGCCCAGACTACCTGTCTTGGTCAACCTCCTCCCCGTACAGGTGAGTATCTATCGACCCCTGTCGTTCTTTCGTAGCTCCTGTACGCTGGAGCGAGCAGATCGGCGGTTACGTTATGGTGCTGACTTTTTATTTCACCTATTTATTTTCCCACTGGAATCCCGAAGCTTTTTTTGCATCTATGATCTTGGGTCGGTAGGTGATGAAAACTGAGGGACAGTAAAAATGTTATGCGACTTTTCACTATCATTAGAAAGCTTATGCAAATGTGCACCGGAGGTGAGCGATACCATTCGGTGTTTAAACTGGATCGTCCTAAAAACATTTCAAGTATGGCTATTTCAATTACTTTCTTTAGTAATACTCTCCATTTCAAAGTATTGGTTTATCATCGATGTGTCCATAATTACTGATCATTGCAAATGGCCAGTTTTATAATTTGCCAGTCTAAACAGATTGACGTTAACAATGCTAGTTTCCATATGAAAGTCAAAATAAGGATTGACTGATTGACGTTAACGATGCTAGTTTCCATATGAAAGTCAAAATAAAATCAAAAGATGGGCAAGGTATTAGCCAAAGAATATATTTTTTCTAGGGAGCAAGGGAAGAGTCGACCCCTCTAAAAGCAGAATGTGTCACTCTACCTTGGAGAAAACAAAATGTACAGGTATAAAAAGATGTTGACTCCCCCAAAGGAGTCATACATATTTAAGTTTCAGGAACTGCAAAGTTGTAGACTAAATTGAGGTGGAATCCAATATATGCGAACTCCTTGAATATACGGACCTTATATAAGTGACAAAATCAATATACATAAAACTGTTTCGGCGTCTGGTTTGTCCAGCAACATACTTAGAAGCCGAAAGGTCTTATCCGAACAGCGTTCCAAGCGATCTCTTTCCTCTCCTTCGCTTGTTTTCCACACGTTATAAAACAGGGTTTTATTCTGTTTATTTCCTGAAGATTTTTAAGTCTATTCTTTGGGGTATACTGCCCTCGCACGGCAGCTCCCGAGATTGCAGAACGGGACAAATTAAAGTGGAACACAGCATAATATGTGGCTTGTGTTAATGAAGGCAGCAACTGAACAATATGCATATCTAGTCAACGGTTAGAAAGCCAGTGAAAATTCAAAGACTACTTATCTACAGAGCAGACAAAGACTGTATTGCAAGAGACACCAACAGAAAAAGGAGACAGCAAAAGAGAAAAAGATATTATACACTTGACTCACAGTGACAATGAGGTATTGAATTCACGCCTTCCCAAACTTTACAAACATCTGGCTTAGCTGCCCCACAACACAGCTACTGCCAAAGGAACTGCTAATATTTTCGAAATCAAATACTGTAGGAACCCCCCCCCCCAATATCCATGGAGGTTCAGTTTCAAGCCCCTCGCAGATGCTGAAAAATGTGGATTGTAGCAAACACCACGCATAGCATGGTCTCTGGCTCCATAGAGTGGCCGGTTCTGGTAATAAGAGAATAAAAAATCGATTTCGCCAGCGAATTCTGTCCATCGCATGGCCCTCTGGCTTATTCTAGTGGCCTGTTCGGGCAACTTCGTCTTTAGAAATATATAGTTCTAGAATTTTTAAAAAGCGTTTTCAATATTTTTAGACCGTGGATAAGCAAACCAGTGGATACCGATCCCGTGGATACGGGGGTCCGGCTGTATTTATTGTAACGTGTGCAATGTACAAGTAAGACTCAAGACTTTCTCTCTCTCTCTATCTCTCTTTCTTTGACAGCAACACAGTGCCTTCCTATACCAACAACAGCCCAGCGACACCCACCCAGGGGGTCAACATGGCCAACAGCATCGCCAGCCTACGTCTCAAAGCCAAAGAATTCAGCCTTCATCAGAACCAGGTGCCCACTGTGAACTGATACGGGGCGCTGTGTGGAACACGCGGCCCTCCCTCTTTTTCCTTAAGTGCCTCGATCCGTGTTTCTCCGTTTCCGACAAATAGCACGGCCTACGACCAACGGAACAACCTCTTGCGTTTCTTGCACCAGCAATTTCGAAGCCATCGTCCACGCCCGTCCTCTTCCTCTCCTTCGTACGCCTTCTCAGAGACATGGGCTGCAAAACTCATGCCCCGTTTCCACGGGAGGAGACCCGAAAATCTCACCCCTTCGGGACTAAAACAAAACTTTTTTTTTACTTTGACATTTACGTATAAAGCTCGCGGTCTCGGAGGAAGGCAAGCTTTTAATCTAGAATCGCCGGCTTCTAAGGATAACCGACAGCGGGGCAAGTTTGATTTTAAAATCCAAGGGCTACTCAATGCTCAAAAACTCAGCCCGGAAATGTAACCGAATGGCTCCGGTCATTTCTCTTTTCCTCTTGCTATTACGATTGTTCGACCATCGTGCTGACGCTGGCGAAACATCGACCAGCATTTTAAGAAAGAATGGTTTAAAAATGTAAAAGGGGGGGAAGGGGAAACGGCGGTCCCTCTGGCAGCCGAAATCCACAGAAAGCCGAACTCAAAACGATGGCAGCATCCACATCCATGAAACCACCCCGAATTGAATCGGTTTGGGAGAAGCCGAGGTGTTTTAAAAAGCCCCCACTGGCCGGTTGGGAAAAAAAAAACTCGCCCGTGTGAATCGATTTCGCCCTCGCGTTGGGTGAACGATCAACTCTAAATTGATCGAAGTGACGTTGAAAGGTGGTTCTTATTGCCAGTACGAATGGGAGTTTTTTCGTTTCCTTTGGGAACCCTCTGTATCGGGAGGTGGGGGTGGATTTTGAAATATATATTTTTAAAATCTGGTTTGGGATGTTTTAGCTTCCGCTTCCCATGCACAAGGGTCCTGATCCACGGTTGTGGGCCATGTGCGCTGACTGTGGAGTAAACAAAATAAAAGAATTTTAAATTTGTAATGTCTATATCGTCTTAATTCGTAGAAGACCTCCTGAGAAATGAGGGAGTAGCCTGCTAGCCGAGTGTTTGTGTGTGGGGGGTGTGGGTGTGGGTGTGTGGGTGGGTGAAGGTTGTGTCATTTGTGGTGATTCCAAAAATGCTGTCACACTCCGCTGTTAAGTCAGAACCAACCTCTAACCACCCTAAGAGGAGCTTTCAAAGTAAGTGAGATGTTTAAGGAGTGGTTTGACCGGTTCCTCTCCACCAGAGAGTTTTCAAGGCTGAGTGGGAATTCGAACCCAAGCCTTCTGAGTCCTAGTGAGCTACTCTCTCCAACTACACCACCCTGGGACCCATTCTGCTTCCCTTTGCAACAAACCCAACCCAACCTGGAAGAGTCAACCCGAGAAAGTTCTCTCTCAACACATGGAAAAGTTGGCGGCCTGTTCAGGCAATGGACGAGGACAGCCGCTGACGGAGGATGGCTTTCAAGCTGGCAACAAAGGATGGGATTCTTCAAGGCTTTGGACTACAAATCCCATTGTTCTCCATGCTGGGAGTTCTACCTGACTTATAGGTGGTGCACCTGGGAGAAAAGATGTAATTCAGAAGGTGTGGAGGCCCAGTTAGTCACTCTCAACAGAAGACCTTGTCTGGGGGGGGGAAACCATTTTCGAGGAGGATGGACCCCGGGACGGTGGCCATTCCTTGGAATGGGCTGGATGGAGCCCCACGAGAAAGGGCTCCAGAGTACCTGCCATGGGGAGGGTCAGCCGGGGGGGGGACAGAACAGAGGGACAGCGGATGTTCTGTTTCCCAGTCTCTACGGGAGACGGCCGTAAACAAAGAACGCAGGGGCCTCGGATCCGTTTTTTGGATCACAGAAAGCATGGTCGTCCGCTAACGGTTGGCCCTCAGAGGTCAGAGAGAAGAGGGGGGGCTTTCCGCTTTGAGCGCCATGGCGGTCCTAATGTGTCTCTTGTAAGCAGTAGGGTGATCTAGGTCAAGCCGGGGTCCTGTTGCTAGGATGAGCAAATTATGGGGGTCTTGGGGGGGGACCCACATTGATGTCCCCAGAAGCCTCTGTAGGATTGCACGTCCTCCCCCCAAATGATGCAGGATAAGGCCATCAATGGGTAGAGGTACACCTCCAGTTTGGAAGAATGTATTTCGGGCCATGATATATAGAGAGTGAGATACAACTATTCTGATATCGGAGAGACGGGCTCCCGTCCACTGCATCACCGGCACCATGAAGCAGTGGCTTCGGGAGCGACCAGAGCCATTGATGACTACAAGAACTTTCTCAGAGCAATGAGTGAGTATCTGGGGGGGGGGCACAGGGTGAGGGTAGGGCCCTCCCCCTCCCGCTCGCTTGCTGCTCCTCCATGTTCCAAAGCAGTCTACCTCCGAACCCAAGACTCAGGAAACAAACAGGAGGAGGAGACGGAAGGCCTTCTCAGCAGCCCCTGGTTGGTTGTGATCGGGGGGGGGGGATGCTCAGAAAGGGCGGTGTGTAATATTTTAGGAAAACGGATTTAAGTATGATAAGATATGGAAGCAGTGGGTGTATAGATGATTTTAAGGGGGTAAAATGTTGGATAAGTATGTTATGTCTCAGCTGCTGGGAAATAAATACGTGATAAGTGAGGTATGATTTGGGGGTTCTATATTGCCTTTCAGCCACACCGAAACTGGGTCCCAGTCCCCTCTCGGCTACGGATAATCACGGGGATGGGCGCAGATGGGCAAAACCATTTCTTAAATGTCTCTTCAAAGCCCTAGGAGGGTCACCGTAAGTGAATTGCAACTGGACAGCGCAAAAAAAGAACAAGGAAACAGAATTTGGGTTCGGGGGGTCTACACAGTGCTGAAATGTGGACTTTAATGGGTTTCAGGAGAGCCTAAGACGGGGGCTCAAAGATTGAAGCAACAAAAGAAGGAAGCATTTCCCCATGTGCCAAAAGAAAAGAGGGTCCATACTTCTGACATCTCCCACAATTAAGGGCACCCCGCAGACATGCAACCAGACATCAAGGCTGAAGACGGCGTCTCCGTCATGATGTGACACTTTTGTTGAGCATGGGGTGGACCGGTCCTGAGGTCCCATCTGTCCTTCTAACCCCAAAGGGGTCCTTTTCCACCCTCTCCCTCCCCCTGAGCCAACGTGGCCAGATGTTCACATAGCAGATGTTCACGGTTTCATCCTGGGGCAGGGAGTGGAGAAGGACGACGAGAAGCACCACGGGGGGGTCACAAACATCGCAGCGAGAAAAATCGAGAGTCCGTTCCACCTCCTTTGAAGGAAGGTCTTGCCTGCCCAAATTCCTCTCCAGCCAGGTGAGGAATGGGATCGAGAGGCGTCACCACCAGCGTCTGAGGACCTTGAAGAGGATCTGTAGGGCCATCGAGAAGCAAGGCAGCTGGGCCACGGTGTAGGCCACGGAGCGTGTGGGGGCTCGCAGCTTCAGGAGGTAAGCCACCGTATGGATGATCCGCCCAAAGAAGAAGACCAGGAAGTGGATCCGTGCAACGTCTGGATCAGGGCCTAGCAAGGAGTAGACGGCTCCGAGAAACAGGAACGGGTAGATGTTCTCCATATCATTGCGATGAGCCCTGTGCGGGGAAGGGGGGAAAACGGGGACACAGATCCAGGAGGGTTATTCCAAAGAACTACGGTCAGCATTAGCTTACAATGAAAAGATATCAAAATTTCCTTGTGAAGAAATAAATCTCACAATTTTTCAATTTTTTTTCCATGCCTCTTTGCACAATTTGTGGGTCTTTTAGGTTGGTCTGTACAGTAGAAGCCTCATATACATGAGAGATTGGTTCCTAGCCCCCTGCAGATGCTGATAACCACAGATAATAGTGAATGCTATACAATGCATGTTAAAAGGAAAAAGAACAATGCAGAAAAAAAGCATTTTAACCACGTATTACCAAAACTGGCCACTAGAAGGAGCCAGAGATTGTGCTATGTATTCCAAAAACAAGAATACATCCACCGCAGATAATAGTGAATGCTATACATTGCATGTTAAAAGGAAAAAGAACAATCCAGAAAAAAAAGCATTTTAACCACGTGTTACCAAAACCGGCCACTAGAAGGAGCCAGAGATCATGCTATGTATTCCAAAAACAAGAATACATCGTGTGGTCTCTGGCCCCCTCTAGTGACCATTTTTGGTAAATACATTCTGAACATATGTATTTCTACTTTTTTCCTTTTAATATTTGATATTTTCGAATGAAACCACAGACACCAATCCCGCAGATACAGGAGCCTCACTGTACTAGTATTGCTTCAGTACAGAGTCTCCAATTTGTTCTGTCCTGATCCGCTTCTTGTCGCTTTGATGTTTTGTTTTGTTTTTTTTGCAAATAGCTGAAATAGGTTTAAAGTTGGCAGAAAAGAGAACTGTCCTGCCTCTCAAGACTATGCACAGCAGCTGGACACTTCTCCGCCGCAGAACAATTGAAAGGAAAGTTCCACCGAGACAAGATAAAAATTCCAGAACAAGCCCACACACATCTGGAGACGACGGCCGCCACGCTGCGGGTCTAGCTGGCAAGCATGACACATGTTTTTATGGCATTTTGATCATCAAAACACCCTCCAGGTGTGTGTTGAGGGATAAGACTCTGGAGACACACCCAGACACGGTCCTGAGACAGGCCTGGCTTCCGTGCGCCACCATCAGAGGAGACAGACGCTCACCCTGTTGATTCATCAGACTGCGTTGATCAAGTCTAGGGAATTTCTCTCGGCATCCCCTGGAAGCTGCAACTTTCACTTTGGACTGTCTATGGTTGGGTCTTCTCCTTGGCATCTGGGAGGGCCGATTCTCCCCACACCTGGACTTCCAGAGGTGTATGCAAGTAGACCCCTCCCTTACGTCCAAGGAAACCCCATCCAACGAACGCCTGCCCAGAGCATAGGGTGGGGAACTCAATTGGCTCGAACAAGCCCGCATGCCGTTTATTGTGTTGGGAAGAGCTGTCTCAATGTTGTGTTTTTTTCGAAAGGGAGATCGCGGGGGGGGGTGAGAGCCTAATGCATTGTGACGCCATCGAGGGAAGAGACGGGACAGCTTGCGGTCCAGACAAGGAGGAGGAACGTGGGGGGGAAGGAAAGGAAGCCACAGCTGGTTCTTATCCCTCCGTCCTCGTTCACAAGAGGCAAGAAGTACGGAAATATGTGCATGGCGCAAAGGTGGCCACAGCAAAGCATGGCCCGGCTGCTCTCATTTATGTCTGCGCACACCTTGGCGATATCCCAGAAGCTGTTAATGGGAGTTTGTGTAAACAAGCGAAAGCTGCTAAAGGTGACCTCTCGGTTGCAACCACATCCGGCCCTCACCGCAGACACGGCTTGAAGGGCGTGCGAGGAGGGGGGAGGATCGTGGCCGGTCAGATGATGCACTTGGAAAACCAAAAGAGAAGTCTAATGTCAGAGCAGGGGTTGTCTCGTGGAAACTTTTCCTCTAGGGCGCACAGTCTGGATAATAAACGCAACCGAAATAGGACATCAGGGAAGAAGGAAGCCGTTGGGCATCTGGAGATCCTTGCTTCCAGGTCCTACACCAGAGGAAAGCGCTCTGTCCGTCTACGGTCTTCGTAACATCCACACAATGCACAGATGGAAACTTGAGGTACCACATCTCCGCCTTCCTGTTGGGTGATTTTCATGCGCTGGGTTGTCCAAAAGCGAATTCCGGCCCAACACCTTCTGTTGCGGCCAACAATTCCTTCGGCTCTGCATCTCTTGACAGACGTCCAAGGGATTAGCAGCGGCGGCCTCTAAAAGGCACATGGGTCCCTTCAAGGACCGACAGAAGAGAACGCGCCCATCCGGAAAGAGGCCGTGTAATTCCTCTGCTTACATTCCAGAGCTGGTTTGCTTGCTTGAGGCAAACAGCGAGCTGTAAATCTCTCCACCCCGGTGCAGTTTCCCCTCTGCTTAAGACTTTCTCCTCCATTTATGACCTCTGGCTACCGAGATTCAAAGCCAGAGGGAATAATCTGCATTATCATGAGTTTTTTTCTTTTTAAAATGAGGACTTTTTCCCATTTAGGATGGCCGAATCGTACCACCTGGGCACTCGGACACCACGGTGTTTCGGACGCTCAGGCGGTTTCCTTCTGCCAACAGCTCAGAAAAAATCAAGAAAAGGACTCTCAAATTCACCATTTTACAAGTAGCTTCAACTCAACGACTTGTAAAACTTTCTCCCCAAACTTTTTCGACTCCTGGCCCCCTTGACTTACTATAGTATGTCTAAAGTGGAAGTTATCAGAACCAGCCACGAGAGGGAGTCTCTCTCTCTCTCTCTCTCACTAGCCGTTCACTAGAGAAATATACAGTATTTCCACAATGTCATTATCAGAACTGGTAATCAGAGAGACCCAGCCTTCGCTATTGGCCATCGTGTTTGCTGTAATCTGTGTTTTTCAGCATCCACGGGGTAGCGAGGGACCGATCATCCCTTGCAGATATGGGGGTCCAGCTGTACTTGCATTTTATGTTCACTGAAACAGAGAACGGGGGGAAAACACCAGAATATTAGAGTCGTTTCCATGTCTGGACTTTCAGCGAGATCTTACTTATGTTTAGAGAGAAGTAAGGTTGCCATCATAACAACGGCGCGCCCTTTATCCAGGTAATGCACCAATGAATGGAAGCTGCCTTAAACATGCCAAGCTCACCACCAAAATGGAAAAAAAGAGAGGCACCCATAATAAAAATTGTGAAAGTTTTAGTCATTTGGTTAACAGATGGATGATTCATCCCTTAATAACTTTTTAGAGCTGGTTGACAACACTCGATAAGACCCAGGACAGGCTTGCTATGTCATGAACCGAAGCCCATGGAGGTGCGCTGTTCTCCTCCCTGTTATGCCAGCCGTCCAAGACAATTACCAGCCGGCACAGGAATGGCTCTACGTGGGTCTCTAGTACATGCTAGGGATATGTCGTTTGGGGTTTAGGACTACAAATCTCATAATTATCCATGCTGAGAGCTCCACCGGACAAACCCAGAAATGACAGAGCCGGAGGGAGTCCAATTTCCTGGAGGCAGGTGGGACGGAAGTGCAGGGAAGGAAGGAAGGAAGGAAGGAAGGAGCAGATGATGGATAGAAGGAAGGAAGGAAGGAAGGAGCAGATGATGGATAGAAGGAAGGAAGGAAGGAAGGAGCAGATGATGGATAGAAGGAAGGAAGGAAGGAAGGAGCAGATGATGGATAGAAGGAAGGAAGGAAGGAAGGAGCAGATGATGGATAGAAGGAAGGAAGGAAGGAAGGAGCAGATGATGGATAGAAGGAAGGAAGGAAGGAAGGAGCAGATGATGGATAGAAGGAAGGAAGGAAGGAAGGAGCAGATGATGGATAGAAGGAAGGAAGGAAGGAAGGAGCAGATGATGGATAGAAGGAAGGAAGGAAGGAAGGAGCAGATGATGGATAGAAGGAAGGAAGGAAGGAAGGAGCAGATGATGGATAGAAGGAAGGAAGGAAGGAAGGAGCAGATGATGGATAGAAGGAAGGAAGGAAGGAAGGAGCAGATGATGGATAGAAGGAAGGAAGGAAGGAAGGAGCAGATGATGGATAGAAGGAAGGAAGGAAGGAAGGAGCAGATGATGGATAGAAGGAAGGAAGGAAGGAAGGAGCAGATGATGGATAGAAGGAAGGAAGGAAGGAAGGAGCAGATGATGGATAGAAGGAAGGAAGGAAGGAAGGAGCAGATGATGGATAGAAGGAAGGAAGGAAGGAAGGAGCAGATGATGGATAGAAGGAAGGAAGGAAGGAAGGAGCAGATGATGGATAGAAGGAAGGAAGGAAGGAAGGAGCAGATGATGGATAGAAGGAAGGAAGGAAGGAAGGAGCAGATGATGGATAGAAGGAAGGAAGGAAGGAAGGAGCAGATGATGGATAGAAGGAAGGAAGGAAGGAAGGAGCAGATGATGGATAGAAGGAAGGAAGGAAGGAAGGAGCAGATGATGGATAGAAGGAAGGAAGGAAGGAAGGAAGGAAGGAGGGAAGGAAGGAAGGAAGGAAGGAAGGAAGGGAGCTGATAATGGATAGAAGGAAGGAAGGCCTAGCTTCCTGTTCAGAAAGGAAGTTGTCCCACTGCTACATGGGAGCTTTCTTTTAGGAAAGGAAAATATTTCCTTCCTTACTTCCTCCAGATATCTACTATTCTGGCCTGGCCACCAGATGGGGTAAAGCTAGGCCTATGCAGGGCCCCCTAAGCCTTCTCGACTAGGCCTTTTCTCCAGGTGAGCTAAAATAAGGCCTAGATCATAGTACAAAAAAGGGCACATACTTTGACTCTGCTTTCTGCTACACATGTCACCGCTGTCACCACGTGAGAGGATAAACCGAGCAAAAGCTGCAGGCTCAGACATAACGGATCCACCAGTCTGCTTCTCCTTCCCTCTCCCCCCCCACGAAGCCCTGGGGCTTCTAAAACTGAGCATTCCTCAACATTTCCCTCATAATCCACCATATGCAAACCATCTCCTCTTGGTTAATCCTGGAACTTCATTTTTTTTTTCATTTTTATGGAACGATTGCTTCAAAAATTGCACAATGCAGGAAACGGCTGATTTCATGGTCTCTCGAACCTTCGGCTCCAGCTCGTCTCCGTCAAAACCTAACTGTAATTGAACCAGACAGGAATTCAGCTGGTCCGCCCTGTGCAAATTAATTCCCAAATTAATCACATCCTTCTCGGAGAAAAAGGCTATCTTCTCTTTTCTGAGAAGTAGATGGTTTTCTTGGGCAATCAAGTACAGTACATAATATACACAGAATTGATCACCTTGTTCTAATTTCTTTGGTGGTTTGCATCGTCAAAGCTACGTTTTTTCCAGTAGGGATGTATGGAAGTGAGAGCTGGTCCATAAAGAAAGCTGACCGCTGAAGAACTGATGCTTTTGAATTGTGGCGTTGGAGGAGGCTCTTGAGAGTCCCTTGGACTGCAAGGAGAACAAACCTATCTGTTCTGAAGGAAATCAACCCTGAGTCCTCACTGGAAGGACAGATCCTGAAGTTGAGGCTCCCATACTTTGGTCATCTCATGAGAAGAGAAGACTCCCTGGAAAAGACCCTGATGTTGGGAAAATGTGAGGGCAAGCGGAGAAAGGGGATGACAGAGGATGAGATGGTTGAACAGTATCATCGAAGCGATCAACATGAATTTGACCCAACTCCGGGAGGCAGTGGAAGACAGGAGGGCCTGGCGTGCTCTGGTCCATGGGGTCACGAAGAGTCGGACACAACTTGACAACTAAACAACAACAACAAACTGGTCCTGACTTGACGGCACACTGGAGGGGGCTACAGTCACCCCTGCTGGTTGCTCATCCAAAGCAAGGATTTTGTGTCACATTTTTAGACAAGGCAAGACTCCATGAAAGCTACAGATGTTTGTGAAAGTGATATTCGCAGGAGAAGCGAATACGTTAAAACATGGCTGACCTGAGACATCGTTCCACGTCGGGGTCTTCTCTGTGGTACTGGAGCCCTCCGTGCCTGAGAGCATCCTCAGGATTGGCAAACACCTGGAGGAAAAGCAGAATGAGTCTAGAGCGCCATCCGTGGAACGGCTTGCGCGTGAACCCACCGCCACCACCTCTGTTGCTTGAAGTGACAGAGCCCAGAACAGCTTCGCTGCAATCATTCTTGCAGAATCCTCGAAAATGAGAAAGGGTCTGAAGGAAGCCAGGCTGCCAAACTAGCTTTCTGCATGCGTGGAGTTCCTACCTCACCTGCCATATTGGGGAAACCAAGAGTCGTATAGCTTCCCCTACTTCCAGCATGGAGCAGTAGTATAATGAGGCCACGTAACCTGTGGACCCCCAAGCGTTCTCCGGCTATAACTCCCACCCTTCTTTCCCGTGCTTCCTGGGGACGATGGGGATGGTAGTCCAACCGCCCCTATAAAAGCATCTGCTGTTCGTACAAACCAAGTTTGGAGTCCCAACCATGTCAGAGAGTGTCAGACTGCCCTTGGCATCCAAATATTATTAATTGTTAAATGCAATGTTACCCCACCCCTCTCCACCTCTGCAAGATTTTGAGATCTTTTCTGTGCTGCCTTCCTCCAGTGTTTGTCGCTGATCTGGGTGGGGGATTCGGTTAAATATTTTATCCTTAGAACTGCAGAGCTAGAAGGGACCCTCTAGATCATCCAGCCCCTGTCAAGAAGGCCCAGGGGGGAATCAAACTCCCAGCCTCAAGAGACCTAAACCCCTGAGCTCTCCAGCCAGCTAAATTACTGAACCCTAATTAGGAAGTTTCACATCAACCACCATCCTCCTCTTAGAACTGCAGAGCTAGAAGGGATCCTCTAGATCATCCAGTCTGGCCCCTGTCAAGAAGGCCCAGGGGGCAGGATTCGAACTCCCAACCTCTGGCTCCACAGAGGGAGACCTAAACCACTGAGCTATCCAGTCCCCTTCATGCCATCATCTCCCATTGCGCCTTACTATTGCTGCTCACCTACCTGCAAGAACAAGGGACTTTCTATGCTGTTGTAAAGACACACTGACCCTTTTTTTAAAAGTGGAAGAGCACAAGGCTTTCTCCTTAGGAGGCAGGGTAGCTACCAGGATCTGTGTGCTCCATCCACACATTTACAACAACTTATCAAAACATAAGCATCCGTACACGTATTTTTTTTTTTAATTCACAAACTGAACCTTCGAACCCAAACAAACAAGTAGTATTAAAGTGGTCTGGCTTTTTTTTTTGCCTTGTGCCGGGCAGAGGACATGGTCATACCTTTCCCCCAAACTCAATTTCCTCTGTCGCTCTTTAGTTTCCCACGACAGCCTAGAGCAAGTTCGCCTTCTGGACTCCCCCCCCACCAACACGTTGGGTCAACAAATAACTTTCCTTGCCCTTCACACTTCACAGCCCCTGTACGGTACATGCATTTCCCGGTCTTGGAGATTTCTAGAGTGGCTTCTTCGGGACATAGCTTGCAAAGCCACCTCCAAACAAATCAGAAGACCAGAAACTCAAGGACGACATCTGGACAAAACATCTGTTTATACACACGCACCTTCCCCCCCCCCAAAAAAATCACTGACAAATTTGGAGCCAAACCCTCCCAAGGATTTTCAATCTGCGAAGAACCTCTCTTTCAGTGCCCATTAAAAAGAAATTGACCGCCTACCTTTTTCCGGAGCCTCACTTGCCCTGTAATGATGGCCACGGCGTACATTTTTAGAACGAGGAGCGTGCCGTAGAAGATGAAAGCGGTAAAGGCTTCGTTCTCCATCATCGTCGCCGACCGGGGGGAGCAGAAGGGTGTTTACTTTGTTCAACCGATCTCTGAAGCTTGACTTCCTTAAGAGGTCTGAAGCTGGTGAATGATAAAATCTGGCAATAAAAAAAAAGGGGCCGGATTACCAGGAGATCTGGTGATTAATGCTTGGAAAGGCGCTCACTCTCCGGTCCTAACTAGGAGGAGAGCCACTGTGTGTGCAGTTTCTCAGAACTGAATTTCTGCTGCCTCAAACAGAGGCTGCCAGCAATAAAGCCAGAATCACATTTAACATTCTGCTCTGTCCAGTTCCTTTTCCTGCTACGGGCAAAATCTACGGCTCAAGGAACAAAGCCCATGGGGCTCCCCTAGAGCAGCTGATTTGAAAACTATTTGCTCTCTTAGAGCACTCTGTCCTGCAGTAGAAGAACATTGGACTATCGGCCCGTCTGCAATTTCAGGATGAAATCCACAGGCGCCGTGGGGCTGATCCGAAATGCAAGAGCTGGTGCTCTCGGACCCACAGCGGCCTCAGCAGTTACTTTAATACAACAGCGCTAATGCAGCTGCTAATTCGTTTTGGAGAGCTCAAAGAACGGCTGGAGAGCTTGGGGCTGGGGTCTCCAGCTGAAGAGCCAGAGGGTTGGGGGTTCGATCCCCTCCGGTTCCTCCTGGGCTGGACGCCAGGATCCAAAGGGTCCCCTTTTTCCAGCTCTGCTGTTTTTCGGTGATCTTTCCAGAGTTTACACCTGAGAGAGACGTTGCCAGAAACGTTGGGACTTTGAATTCTTCACATTGGTACAAGCCTGGTGGTCTCGACTCACAAAAGCTTGCGTATTGTTGGATGAGTTTTTTTTAAAAAAGGAATCTGTAAAGGCATTGCCTCCTCTTGCATTTGAATGTCAGGTTGGTTTCCTAACTCTTAACTAGTTAAAACATGGCCCTTTAAAGCACCCAAGAGTTACAGATAGCGCTATATCGTCCTCCACTTTTTTGTTATTTTACTTTAGCACTATCTGGTTTTGTAGGCTAGCTACTCCATTGGCTTTAAATATTTTAGAGGCAGAGAGGATGGAAGCACTTTTGGAGTCTCGCCCCCAAAGTTGTCCGGAATAATTAAAAATTCGCCGGAATGGCAGTAGCTGCCATTCAAGGTCAAAGCTTCAAATCCATCCCAATTAACTCGGGGAAGACTCCCTCTCTCGTCAAACCGCGTAGTCCTCCGACCTCCAACGAGCAGGCCCAGTCTTCTCCAGACGAATGTTCTCTGGCTGTTGGCCAAGGCGTAGACCCACACTAAGGACGGCGGTGGCGGACGACGACACAGTTGGGAATGCCACAAATGTTGAACGCCACAGTTAGCGCTTGTCAGGAATCCCTCGGCACGTTGAGAAACGGTGCTTCAGCCGAAGGCGATGCTCAGAGGAGGTGCCCGGCCCCGGAGGCTTAAGCCAGAATTCCTGCCTGCACGATCATGTTTTGTTCGCATGCCTATTGTGTACCTTAACAACCCCTTTCAGACTGGGCGAAGTGCTCGGTTGGCTGACTCCCCAGTATGCCACAAGCAGGCCTTTCCGCACCTGTACAAATCTCTTTTAAAAGGGTTCACCTGGAGGACACGGGTTTCTTCTCGCACCTGGGACACGCGATATTACCTCCCCCCCCCCGCCCATCCATGCAGTCGAAGCAAAGAGGAGCGGGTTCAATCGCAGGTGTGTGCGTGTGAAGGGTTTGGCGTGGTAGACAAAGAAAACACAATGGAGGCCAAAGTGTTGTTGTGTTGTTCCCTACAACCACCCATGGGTTTACACGTTGAGCCGCTGTGAGGCCGGGATTCCAATGACTTAGAAGTTGAAAGCCAACCTTGACACGAAACTAAGGCAACGCGGCCGCTTGACCGCATGGGGAGGAAGTCATAAAACCCCAAGGAAAACATTACACACACAAGGGGTTGAGTTGCGACGTTCTGGTGAGCCAAGGAAGAACTCACCGCACAGTCGTGGGGGTGTGTGACGAACACATTTCTTCAAACCTTCCCAATTCAATTGGGACTTTTTCTAAAAAGTCTAGCTCAAGGTCAAAAGTTCCCTTTCCGGGTGACCTCTGGATGCTGTGTGAGGGGTGGTGGCGGGAGAACACATCTGGCAGGGATTCCGACTTCCAACACAGCTTGAATTTGAGTCAAATTCTAAACCTCACAAACCAGACTTGTTTAAAAGTTGGGGTTAGCCACGTCCTCTTTCGCGGACCACAGTCCTCTCTTGGGAGGTGTTATCTTTGAAGGATTCAAACAATAAACGAAAAAAAAGGAGGAAAAAAAACCCCAACCCCGTAAACAGTAAGATTCCCCCCTATCCACGGGATCATTATCCACTGATTTACATAGCTACTGGCTGAAAATACTAAATTAAAAAAAAACACCCCAGACCTGCCTATTTACAGTATATATATTTTCAGTGTGTATTTATCAGAAATGGTCACTAGGGGGAGCCAGAGACCACGCTGTATAATGTTCGATATTTCCACGTTTTTCAGCATCCACGGGTTGGGGGCTTGGAACCGATCCCCAAGTTTACCCCCAGGGAGGGGTCCACCAAAGAATTATTCCTGAGGGGTTTTGCCAGTTTGAGCTCTCAACCCGGGGGTAATCCTTTCTTCTTGAACCACAACCCCAGCAAAAAAGAATTAAAACAAGCATTCTAACAAAACTGCTAAAGAAAAATAGGTAGGGGGGGCGGTAAGCCTATGGGACTCTCCTCCCTGCCGCACCGGGGCCCTTAGCATCACACTTACCACAACAGCTGCAATATCTGCCGGGGGAGCATCATCCTCTCTCCTTTTCTCTGCTTCTGTGGCTATCACCACAAATTCCCAACACCCCCCACCTGATGCAAATATATTCTGCTGAAGGGGAAACAGGGCTGATCCTGATTAGACTAGGATTCTGGCAGGTGACCGGCTAATCCCACAAAGGAGGAGGGTCTTGAGCCAATTTCTATTGTTGCCCAGCCCATAATTTAGTTTTAAAACGAGGGAGAGATGACTTGTTTCGGACCCACAAAATTCAGATTCTGTGTATCTTCCTTGCAAGGAATTGAGTCTCTCGTGTCTTTAGCTCCAGAGCTTGGGGGGGGGGCATTTTGCAGCCCTGGGATTCGGCTATAATCTTATTTACATTTATTTATTTAAAATATTTTTACCCTGCCTTTCTCCTCGAAAAGGACCCAAGGTGGCTTAGATTTCCCAAATGAATCTGGAATAAATGCTAAAAAGCCCTAGCAAACACTTCTTGGCCTGGGAGGGAGGGATTAAAGAAACACAACACCCACATTTGACATTATGGCCCAGACGAGGTGCGCATGCGAAGGGTGTTAAATCGTGCACGTTCAGAAGATCTGGTAGTAAACAGGACATTTCTGCATTATATTTGAAAGAGGCACAACATATTGAAGAGGAATAACGATGAATACAAGGGCAGGGCGCCAGTTTAACAAAAAGCGATGTGAATGGATTAAAAAAGGGTCCTTTTTAAAAGCAACAAAACACACACACAGACAACAAAACTGTTGTCCACCCAAACAAACCTTGATTTGGTTCAAAGAATGTATTTTTCTTCTTCTGAAATCACAAGGGTATTTGTAGGATGCAGTGACACCCCTTTGATACTAGTTGCACTGCTATGTTCATTCACACTTTTTCATTCATTTAAAAATCTGTTTACTTTCTCCTGAAAAAGGACTGACATCATTAAAAAGACAGCATTTAGCTCTGGCGGGGTTAAGCAGACAAATACAAACACACCTGGGAAAGTGGTGGGACTGAGAAAAGATGATGATGATGATGATAAATTTAAAAATTACATTTATAATTATAAAACTACTATAAGTGCACAAGTAAAACATGTAGTACTGCAATATAATAACAACAATAATAATTATTGTAACGATCAGTAAGATAAAGTGATAAATATATAATATATAATGGTTAGAATTGTACTTATAAGAAATATAATTATTATGGATTGCATTCTATATTTGCACTCCTTTATTTTACTGATTTCGTTACAGTAGTTATAATTCCGACAATTACTGTAACGGAAGCAGCACCCCGAAGGAGTCACGTGGCACTGCGGGAGCCTTCGCGCCCTGACCCAAGATGGCGGCCAGCAGAGCGTGCGGGGAAAGGAAGGGCGGAAGAGCTTCCCGGCCGGGCGGAAGTCTCTGCCGCGGCCACTTCCGGCCTTCCCGTCCGCCCCGGCCAGGACGGAGAGGGTCTCTCGGCGCCTCTCTCTCGCTGGCTCGCGCTCTTCTTGTGCGCGTGCGCGGTCCGTCCGCTCGGCCATGCGCCGGACTAAAATGGGCTGGGGCACCGTTTTCTGAAACAAAATCTTGAAGTATCTTACTATTCCTTCATTTCTATTGTTCCAAGTTAAGTGCTGTTGCTTACACAGTCAAATAAAGTATTGCCCATTCATAAGATGGGGGAAGCATGCTCAGAGAAACTGGAGGACCGGCCCAACGGAACCGGTACCGGCAGGCAAGCAGGACTACAAACCCCAGCATCCCCACCCACCCGCTCAGGCTGGGCGGGGGGAGCACCAGACACCCCACCCCACATACACACACAGCTTTCCACTGGGGGAATACCACTCCCATGCTCCCCAGCCAGCTGGGGTGAGGGGTGTCCCAGCCCCATTCCACCCCGGGGGCTCGAACCCAAGACCCTGGTGCCCACGAGATGGGAACCAGTCTCTTCCCCCCCCCACCACATTGCTAGATCCCTTGTGGGGTCTTGCCTGCAGTGGGGCCGCGGTATCCGCAGGGGGGTTCAGCAGGGGACCCCCTACTCTAATGTAGACCAGCCAGATCCAAGGTAGATGATTGGGGCTTCTCGGGTGGGAGGAGGGGGAGATGCCACCCCAAGAAGGAGAAAGCCTCCTCCCTCCCTCCCTCCTTTTCCACCTGCTTCAGACAGCCTTTTTCTCCTCTGGTTCCCACTCCCCCCACCCTTTTTCCCCAGCCCTCCAGCAGAACCTGGACGAGAAGCTCTTCGGGCAGCACCTGGCCAAGGAGGTGGTCCTCAAGGCGGTGACCGGCTTCGTCAACAACCCGAGCCCCAAGAAGCCCCTGGCCCTCTCGCTGCACGGCTGGGCCGGCACCGGAAAGAACTTCGTCAGCCAGATCCTGGCCGAGAACATCCACAAGCTGGGGCTGAGGAGCCGGTTCGTCCACCTCTTCCTCGCCACCCTCCATTTCCCGCACGATCACCACCTTCAGCTGTATCAGGTGAGGGGGGGGGAGCGAAGCCTCCTGACGTCCAGCCAGCCAGAGATTTTTTGCATTCGTGCGCTACATTCCCCAGGCGGGAAAGGGAAGGAGGAGGTGGCCTGGCTGGGGTTCCATGGGACCTGCAAGGCATTACAGGCCTGGTGGTCTCTCTCCTTATTCTGTTCCCTAGCGGTGCCTCCGAAGGGCATGAATTCCGAAAATCCCATGCCTAGGGCCTCGTTTTGTGCCTGTTTTACAAATGGGCAAAGCGATGCTGGCTATTTTGCCCCCACCCCTGGAACCGTTTACTCCGACGTGGATGGACCTTGCTGGACACTTAATTTCCCAAGCTTTCTGACTTCATACATTTTTGTTTCCATTTGAATTCTGATGGCTTCATTTAGGTTGACGCATTGTTTTTGTTGCACGTGGCTTCCTTCCAGACATCGTCCCAAATATCCGGTTGCTCATTTTTGTTATGAAATGTTTTCCCCATGCCCGTAGCTAGTTTGGAAGTTCATCTCGCAGTGCGTATCTCATCAAGAAATCTTGTTTTAATTTTGGCAAGCTTAACTCTTCAGCAAATGGGTATATGTTTTATTACACTCTCTTATGATAGCAAACTGAATAATCCTGGATAAATCGGGACCATTCTTTTTCAGCCTCCTTACCTAGGGGGAAAAATTATCCTCGGGTGATGATGAATGCTGGAGCCCTTAAGAGGCTGATTCTTTAGCGTCTTGTTCCCAGGACCAGTTGCAGAAGTGGATCCGGGGGAACGTGAGCGCTTGCGCCAGGTCGGTCTTTATCTTTGATGAAATGGACAAGCTGCACCCGGGGCTGATTGATGCGATCAAGCCATTCCTTGACTACTACGAGCACATTGATGGCGTATCCTACCGAAAAGCCATCTTTGTCTTTCTCAGGTGAGTGGTTCCTGTCGTCGACCGAAAGCTACCTGGGCCTCTTAAAACACAGTTTGCTGTATAATAGGACATCCATATCCTGTGGATGCCAGAAAATGTGGATTATCGCAAATGCTATAAGAGTCAGTGCTATACGTAGCATACTGGTGGCGGTGAAGGATAGGAGAACTCATACGCTATGGAGCGGAAAGAGCATTCAACAGCTGTAGAAACCGTGGAGAAGAGCAGAATCACAAGTAACGTGGACACCAGGGTTTTAAATACCAGCCTTTCTTCTTCTTCTGCCTTTTAACAGTAATGCAGGGGGTGATCTCATCACTAAAGTGGCTTTAGACTTCTGGAGGAGAGGACAGAGCAGGGAAGAGATCCAGCTGAAAGATCTAGAACCGGTGTTATCGGTGGGCGTTTTCAACAATAAGCACAGTAAGTGATTTTACTTCCCTGTTTTCCCTTCAAGAAGCAGAATGTTTTTGCTTTCTACGTTGAAGAGGAAGTCTGGATGTATTTTTGTAAGCTTGGAATTTTTTTTTAAAAAAATAACAAATCCCACAATTTCCCATTCATAGAGATCCACCAGGCAGGCATGTCCATGTGGCTCGCCTGGAAGAAAGGCCAAAGTTGTAAGGCTTTGTGGCTAGCTAGGCCTAGCTGTATAAGCAGCTAGCCGGGAGCTTCCTTTCTGAACAGGAAGTTAGGCCTAGTAAGGCCAGAGAAACTTCCTTTCTCCCAGGTGAGCCACATTTAAGTATCTCCCTGTTGCCTGGATCTCCAAGAACAGAGAATTACAGGATTTGTTGTCTCAAGGAAATCTGAAAATCTTGTCCCTGGTAGAAACCTCTCCCTCTCGAAATGGTGGGCCCGTGTGGCTTGTAAAATAAAAACTCCGCTGCTGAAGGATACCACTGAAGCCAAGAAACCTTATTGCAGCCAAGCCTCTACTTACAACCCGGGTTGGATCCCGGCGGATTCAGGTAGCGAGTTCGAGGTTGACTCTGCCTTCTATCCTTCCCAGGTTGGCTAAATAAGTACACAACTTGCAGGGGGGGGGCAGGTTAATTTTTTTGCACAATTATGTTTTAAACTGCCCTGGGAGTGCTCTAAGCATTGTGAGGTGGTATGCAAGTCGAAATAACAACAACACACCTCTTCCTCAGCTCTTTTAACCTCAATCCTGTTGTTTGCAGGTGGTCTCTGGCACAGCAGCCTCATTGACCGGAACCTCATTGATTATTTTGTGCCTTTTCTACCCCTGGAGTACAAACACGTGAAAATGTGCATTCGGGCAGAGATCAAGTCCCGCGGCGATCCTATCGATGAAACCATCGTCCAAATGGTAGCGGACGAGATGACGTTTTTCCCAAAAGACGAACGGATCTTTTCCGACAAAGGCTGCAAGACAGTACAGGCCAAACTGGACTTCTATTGAGCTTATCTGATATATTTTTTTAATACTCTAACCCGGGAAGCAAGAAGGGGACACATTTTTGAAGCCATCTCCTCTCCTTCCTTGAAGCACTTTTAACTCTTAAAAAAAATCATAATCTGTGGACATGCACTTTTTAAGTTTTCGGGAACATCTAAGAGTTTGGAGGGGTTATGAATGCTTTTCTCATAGTATTTTTCCCCCCTACATGTGCACCGTCAGCAAAAGATTGTTGTACTTGCTTTGTGGGTGAATCTGTACAAATACAGTAGGACCTCCATATCCGTGAGAAATTGGTTCCAACGCCCCGTGCGGATTCCAAAAAATGCCGATTATAGCAAACACTATTTTACTAGCAAACACAGTCTGTCTCCTTCTAATGGCCAGTACTGATAACTTCAAAAATATATATTTCTAGGATTTTTCTTTTCAAGTTTTCAGATTGTGGATAAACAAATCAGTGGATACTGATCCCGCAGATAAGGGGGTCCTACTGTATTACACCTCTGATTAGATTTTGCCTGCAGAGTATTGGAATTGAGTTGAAATGTTTTTTTCCTTTCCCTGTTTTCAACTAAGACTACCTAAATTCTGTTACGTGATCCCTCTTCCCACCTCTTTTAGAAGGGGGTCAACAGGGGATAAGAATGCCTTCGGTTGTATTATTTTAGGTTGTACCACGGGACTAATTCTATGTGTAGGGCACCACTTCCATAGAAGCGTGGAGTTGGAAGGGGGACCCTTAAGGCCGTCGAGTCCAACCCCCTGCTCAAGGCAGGAATCCGAGTCCAAGCAGAGCTGACCCAAGGGTGCTCGTTTTCTCCAGCGTTGGGAGTCCTCGCCACCACCTCCCAAGGTCATGGATCCCATTGTCCTACTGCTCTAACAGTTGAGATCCCCCCCCCCGCTCCCCCAGATCTTCAGCCTAAATCTGGCTTCCATTCACGGAGGAGTGGGCCCTCAGGACTTCTGATCTGCTGCACTTCCTGCTCTAAAGGCAAGGGTGGAGTTGAGACGAGCATCAGGGTCATGGATTCTAATTCTGCCTCCTTGGTGAGTCAATCTTGCTCCCAACGCTGCAATCCTCAAGGTGGGTTTCCTTGAATGTGGATTTCCACGTTCCTCTTGGGTGAACGGGCAGGTTTCCAAGAATTTGAGCTGTTGCTTCTTGATTCGCTGTTACCTCTAAAATTTAGGTCATTGTTCTAGCAGAGCATGAAATATAATTTGATTCTTGGTTTTACTCTTATGGCTCACCTGTCTTTTTAATATATGTACCAAGGAAGAGTGTTACGGCATCTACCATAACAAACTTTCTGTAGTTTCAGGTAAAGAGATGGATAACTTAAATTTGTCAGCCTTGGCCAGCGGGACCGACAAAGAAGGGTGGTGAAAGTTGGCGCCAAAGATTGGATGACTTTTAAGTACCCTTCCCCACATTTTTAAGTCCCACGGATAAGAGGGAAAGAGGGCTTTTTAAAGAGCACCAAAGAACTCACAATATTGCTGATGTGAGAGATTTCATACGGTGGTTCTTGAAAAAAAATCTGAAGCCTGGAGGTCTCAATTCCTGTCTGCCCAGAATGGAATTTGTAGTCCGGCAGTAATTTGAGGATGTCAGGTTTGCCACTGGTAGCATAAAGAAACAGCGTATTGGCAGATACAAGAACCACAAGGGTTTTTCTGAATATGAAATGTTAAAGAGACTGGGTCCTTGAAAATAATTTCTTTTTTTCCAAATTTCTCTTGAATTTCAAAGACTTGATCGCAGGTTGTTGCTCAGAATTCTGTTGTCCGTCCCCACCCGGCCCATGTTGTCTAAATTCCTGCTCCAGTCCTCTGAATGCAAGAAATTTTTTCTGGTTATAAATATCCGCTACAATAAACAATTTTCATGTTTCCTTGTCACTACGTGTTCAGAAATCGTACAGCAGTTTCCCAACATTTCTGTTCAGCTGTATTAAATGCCTTGGATAGCAACCTTCTAGGAGATGCAAGACGTTCTTTTCTTCATCCAGAAGCCATTTGTTTTCTTCATCCAAAAGCCTGTATGCGTGGGGGATTGGTTCCAAGTGCGCACGCCCCTGCAGAGGATGTAAAATTCAGATTATAGGGAACACTATGCATAGCATAGTCTCTGGCTCTCTCTAAAGCCATTTGTTAATACATTAGGACCCCTGTATCCGTGGGGGATTGGTTCCAAGTGCGCGCGCCCCTGCAGAGGATGCGAAATCCAGATTATAGGGAACACTATGCATAGTGTAGTCTCTGGCTCTCTCTAATGGCCAGTTCTGGGAATTTTTAACATTCTTAATGTATTCGGACTTAATACAGGCCATGGGACCATCCATGAAAACACTCTGGGGGAAGAAGGTAACCTAAATCTTTTCCACCAAGGACAGGAGGATCGGGGTCAATCCACCAAAGAGATACAAGACCAGAAGCCAATGAATGCCAACAGGGCACTGTGGAGAAGCTGGAATGTGTTCTGAAAAGGGCAACCAAGATTGGTCAAGGCTTTGTAGACAAAGTCCCTTGAGAATGGGTCGACGGAACTGAATTAAGACGGGGGGGGGGGGGGGAGGTATCACAAAGTCAGATATTTGATAGGTGGCTACATGGAGCAAGTTTATTTTCTGTAGAACCCATAACAACGGAAAAAGGAAATCAACTATGAAGGACGTCCGGACAACAAAATGACTCCCCTCGTGGACGGCTGCACTGGAGGTTTCATGATGGGCCACCTTGCTAGGCGTATTTCATTTTATGTTCATACATTCAGGTACCTTATGTCAAGCCCAAGTTAAAACTCCCTATCAAGAACGGGACAAAAGATATTAAATAGGGCCATCACGTGCCTTTCATCGAGGGCCATCCTCGGCCAAGGGGGAGTGATGGGAGAGCAGAAGTCTTGAAATAAATAGGTGATACCAGAGGTTACAGACTGGAAGCTAAAAGCTTGAGACCAGCTTGCTTATTTCGCCTCCAGCTCTGCATTCTTTGCAAACAGTTCTGTCCTCTGATGGATGCATGGATGTAAGTTACTTTCATGGGCTTTTCCAGACAGATCCAGAACGTTTTCTTAGGAACGGTATGAGGATTTGAGGTATAATGTCAGGCCAAATTTAAATGTAGCTTGGAAAGTTTTTTGGGGGGTGAGGAATCCTTTTTACATCTGCATGGTGTTTGTTCCTTTCTCTTCTCGTTCCCAGAGATTACACTTAGTACCTTAAAAAGACTGACCCATAAACATGAAAAAGAGCAGGTCATTCGGTTCCCGTGAATGGGTCTTCAGTAAAAATCATCATGCTTTAGTTCACTGCTTAGAGAAACAAGCTCGCCAGCATCAATGTCTTTAACACTTCTTGCAGACAGAAGCTGCTTTATCAAGTATTTTCAACGACGGAAGTCTCCTTTGAACCAAGCGGTTCAGGGAGTGGATTTAAAACTAAATAGCAAAACTCGGCTCAGTTCTGTACAACAGGATCCCAGTAACTAGCTATAGCAGCAGATTTGCAGAATGGATACAGAACCAGTGCAAGATGCATCCAGAATAGAGGATTTGTCACCCTTTTAAAGAATGATGCTTAACATGATTGGATAAGGGTGAGCTGCCTTGAGTCCCCATACATAGGAAAATACGGAGTGCAAATAAAAGGGAGGGAAGGAAGAAGGAAGGAGCTGATGATGGACAGAAGAAAAAAGAAAGAAAAGAAAGAAAGGAAAGAAAGGAAAGGAAAGAAAGGAAAGAAAAAAGGAAGAAAAAAGAAAAAAAAGAAAGAAAAGCTGATGAGGGAGGGGAGGGAGGAAGGAAGGAAGGAAAAATCCAGTTTGGCCACAGTGAAACAGCCTTCCATGGAATCTCTGCTAACTGGTCTCCAGAAGGATACCTTCCCTAAGCTTCTAAGAAGTGATGAGGGAGGGAGGGAGGAAGGAAAAATCCAGTTTGGTCACAGTAAAACAGCCTTCCATGGTATCTTTGCTAACTGGTCTACTGAAGGATACCTTCCCTAAGCTTCTAAGAAGCAACCACACACTTCAGTTCCCGATTTGAGAGCCCCTGTATTTACACCATCCCCTGCTAGAATACCTGGAAACAATCCACAAGAGCATTCGTGTTTAAAGAAACCTATGCACCATTTCCTATGCAACCAAGAGAATTCCTTCATTTCTTACAAAAAAATCAAAAAGAATCAAGTTATTTCCATGGAAAAGGAAGCATCTTATCTGAAGAAACACATACGAAGAGACCGTCTCCTAAGCAATTCTGCATCTGGGAAACACGCCTGGACGTCGAGACGTTTCCAAGTCCAAGAACCGCGAAATGGTAGAATTTGGAACGGACTGTGCCACATTTAGAGCTTACCTTTCCAAACGAAGTGCCAGTTTTATAATTTAAGGTGATATCGCTCTTGCCAACCCAGTGGATTTGATCCTAGTTCCTTATTTTAAAATGTATTTCAAGAAAAAAAATTACAAAAAACCCCACTATTCTTTTTTTTTCCAAGTTCTGTGATTGGGCTCAAATTCTTTGAAAAAAATCCAGATTATAAAAACGTCACTAGTCATAGTAGAAATCCAGCTTTGTGCAGACAGTCTTGCAACCTTTGTCCGAGTAGATCCTCTCCTCCTTTGGGAAGTATGTCATTTCGTCGGCGACCCGAGTCACAATCTCTTCATCCACCGTGTACCCCCGGGATTCAAGTTCCACCCGGATGCACATTTTCACGTGTCTGTACTCCAGGGGCAAGAAAGGGACAAAGTAGTCGATGAGGTTCCGGTCGATGAGGCTGCTGTGCCAAAAGCCACCTGGAAAAAAAAAAGCGGAGTGGGGGGTAGGCGAGAAGGGTCCCGTTAGGCAGGACAGCCGCAGAGAAACATCTCAAAACTGGAGAAGCTGTTGTGAACCTGGGCTAACGCGCTTTGTTGCAATTAGTTCCACCAGGAGATCAACTTAAGTTTGCAAAGTATTTGGGTGGGGGTGGGGGTGGCGACGCCATGGGTGGAAATCCACTATTACGAACTGGGCCTTCTCTGTGGTGGCTGCCACCTTATGAAGCTCTTTTCTTGCAGAAATAAAACATGCCCTGACCCTCCTTGGCTTCAGGGGGGGAAAAAAGGACCTGGCTGTTTACTCAGGCCTTCCATATTCCTGCCCTGGTTTAATTTAATTAAGCTGTTTTGTTTCTCTCTAATTTTGATGACCCACACTTTTAGGGTTGACTGACTGGTCTGTGGCCATCCTTTCGTAGATGAGTACAGATTTTATTTTAAGTTCGGTTTTGTTGGCTTTCCTGTTTAAAGTTTATTTGTTGATTATTGCTGACTTTTAGTTCACATTGTGGATGGTCTTTTTGTAAGAGCCCAGCGTAGTGGCCGGGCCACTAGATGGGTGAGGTAAAATCCGAATTAAATAAATAAATAGTAGAATCACAGAATAAGGGATTCAGAAGGGGCCTCGAAGGCCACTGAGTCCAACCTTTTGCTCAAGGCGGGAGCCCAAATCAAAGCAGATCTGACCGAGGGTGGTCCAACTTTCTCTTGAAGGCCTCCAGTGTTGGAGCACTCACCCCCTCCCGAGGTCATGGGTCTCGTCGTTATACCACTCTAACAGTTAGGAAGTTTTTCCCGATATTCAGCCTAAATCTGGCTTCCTGTTGTTTGAGCCCATGATGATGTGTTTTGCACTCTGAGATGACTGCCCCTCCTCTATATGCAAAAAAATCATGAATGAAGCCAGCAGGACTCACTGTTTTTGTTGTTGAAAACAGACACAGACACGGCCGTCTCCACGTCCCGAAGTTGCAGGTCTTCCCTTCTCTTTCCTTTCTTCCAGAAGTCAAGAGTCACTTCAGTTATTTTTTCAGCTCCTGCATTGCTGGGAAAACAAAGGAAGGGGCTATCAAAAAGAAATTAACTTGAGAGAAAGAAAGAAAGAAAGAAAGAAAGAAAGAAAGAAAAAGTGTCAAAAAGAGATTAACTTAGAAAGAAAGAAAGAAAGAAAGAATACACATAGCAGAACATCGCATAGCGAGGCTGGAAGAAAAAACTCCCAGCTATCTAATGATACTAGCAAATATATTTAAAGTAGGATCCCTCTATCAGGAAGCAATCAATTCCTTGCCCCACCTCCCCATGGATACTGCAAAAGATGATTGAAAGCGAATGCTATTTTAATAGTCCCTGAAAATAAGACAGGGTCTTATATTAAATTTTGCTCCAAAAACAGGTTAGGGCTTATTTTCAGGGGATGTTTTACTTTTTTTTCATGTAAAATCGACATTTATTCAAATACAATCGTATCATCTTCTTCTGGTTGTTGCACAAGGGTGGAGGGCAGGATTTCACTTAACTGGGGCTTATTTTTGGGCTAGGGTTTACATTATGAGCATCCTGAGAAATCATACTACGGCTTATTTTTGGGTTAGGTCTTATTTTGGGGGAAACAGGGTAGCATGGTCTCTGGCTCCTTCTCGTGGCCAGTTCTAATCACCTTCAGAAATATGGGATTTTTCTTTTAATATTTTCAGACCATGGAGAAATGATTCCACGGATACTCATCCCACAGACAGCAGGATTCTCCGATATGCTTTTGGCTACAAGTTGATATTCTGGCTCACGACCGGAATAGGTTTGACTAACCTGAGGAAGATGAAGATGGCTTTCCGATACGACACACCGTCCAACTCTTCGTAGTAGTCAAGGAAAGGTTTGATAGAATCGATGAGTCCTGCGTGCATTTTATCCATCTCGTCAAATATGAAGATGGACCTCCCACAGGTGCTCACATTGCCCCGGATCCATGTTTGCAACTGGTCCTAGAATAATGTTTTTAGAGCAAGCATTCCATTTATTTGTAAAAATCATCCTGGTCGCACATTTCCATGCACGCTGTGGCAGAATCTTAGCCGAGAGCTTCAGTGGGCTTCTGGCTAAGGCATGCCAAGCATCTGACAACTGGGGGTAGCAAATGGGGGCCAGCAAAGGGATTCTGGGAGGTGAAATATGACAGGCCCATTGGGATAAAAAACAGCACAAAATATTCTCCTATGTACTGCTCCAGGCACACAGTCTTTCAGCTGCTTTACAAGTTCGCAAATGTGCATAGCCCCATGCCATCTGCCTGAGCATTCGGTACATTACAATTTGATTGCCTTTCCATGACTACAAGATTGCGGTTCAAAGTTTAGAACAGAAAGGAGCCTCCCGTCGCTTCCTGAGAAATGTAGGACAGTAGGACCCCCCAAATCTGCGGGGTATCAGTCCCAAGTCCCCCTATGGATGCTGGAAAACGTGGATTATAGTGAATGCTATTAAAATAGTGAATACTCAACATAGCATGGTCTCTGGCTCCCTCTCATGGAACATTCTGGTAAAATCATCATTAAATATATATATTGGGGGGATTTTTAAAAAACATTTCCAGATTGTGGATAAATGCATCAGCAGATACTGATCCTGCGGATAAGGAGGTCCTATTATATATAACAAAAAAACCTGCACTTCTCTTCCTTCAGAAGAGAATCAGTAGTGAGCAGATTTTTTTTTGGCCAAGTAAACAGATCTAAGTCCAGTTTTCCAGACAGCTGTGAGTAGCAGCTACAATATTTGAACACACTACACACAAAAGACACATCACATCATACGTTTACCTTGTAGTGGGTAACGTTCTGCCGATGAGGGAAATGCAAGGTAGACACGAACTGATGCACATATTTGCTGTTGAGACCTTCTTTGTAAATACTCTCAGCAATGATTTTACTGACAAAATTTTTGCCCGTGCCTGTCCACCCGTGTAAGGAAAGGGTCAGCGGCTTCTTCGGGTCTGAATTGTTCAAAAACCCAGTGACGGCTTTCACTATCACTTTTGTGACTAGATGCTGTCCGAAGACCTTCTTCTCCAGATCTGCCTGCAGTGCTGGAGCAGGAAGAGAACACAGGATCAGATAAATGGGAACAGAGAGTGATAGAAATCTAACAACCTTCTCTGTAAAGCTATATAAGCTTTTAGCCTACCATTACGGGTGGTGGTGGTCCTAAAGAGCTATATAAAAACACCAGTGCATGTCATAGCTATATTTTTAGAAGAGGTGGCCATGTTAAATCATAGTATCAGGGAGTCAGAACGGGGCCTGTAAGGCCATCCAGTCCAACCCCCTGCTCAAGGCAGGAATCTCAATCCAAGCAGATCGGACCGAAGGTGGTCCAGTTGAAGGCCTCCAGCGCTGGAGTGCCCACCACCACCGCCCGAGGTCATGGGTCCTGTTGTTGTCCTGCTCTAACAGTCAGGAAGTTTTTCTTGAGGTTCAGCCTAAATCTGGCTTCCTGTCACTTGAGCCCATTATTTCCGCCGAACAGCAGGAAAAAAAAATTTCAAACGTGTTGCCATTATTCAAAAGCACAAGAATTAACAAATAATTTGATTTAACAGGTCCAGGGCTGATGCACGTGTCCCCTTTGAAGGAATCTTTGCACCACCCAAGCTTTTTCAAAAGCCGATCAGAAGGATGATGCTTTTGCTGCACAAAGATATTAAAAGTGAACTCCACTGTGTGTGTGTTTGGTTTCTAAAGGCAAAGGGCCTTCCAGGAGCGACCTTTGCTCCTTCACTCCCTCCCAGGCTTCCTTCATTCCCCTACTTCCCCCCCAATACACACACACACACACACACACATCCTTGGTCATTCTAGAATAATAACATTATTTATTTATGCCTACAGACACACACTCTCTGTTTAATATAATTATGACCTGTTTGGCTTTAAAGTAAACATTAGTATTTGATGAAAGCCTAGGCTTTGGCTTCCTCCCCCACAACCCCATTGGCCTCCCATCATTTCCTAGTAGCTGTTTGCAAACGTCTGCTGTGGAGCCACCATCGAGTGAAGCAAGTGGTGTTATTTCAACAAAGCCAGAAACCTTCCTTTCTGCTTGTAAATATTAGTCGGTCTTGCAAGCAGGGCTAAGAGCTGCCAGGCATCCTGTCATTTAAACAGAGTCCGGACTGATTGACGCCAAGTTTCTGTCGAAAGATCTGAAGGGTGGTGCATTAGCACAAGAGCACGGGTCAGGCATGCCTTCCCACCCCCTTTTTTTTT